TGAGAATATAGTAAATTACTATTTTGATTTCATTTGACATGTGGAAGTTTTTGCTCCGGATTCTTGATTAGGTAAGTGATTTAACAGGTTATAATATTCGTTTTATTGGTATTAAATAAACTATTTAAAAACCGAAAGATTTATATATGAAACAAAACGATTAGATGGTCGGAGTGTAAAAGCAGGTAAGTACTTAAGGGGGTATTCCCAATCTTTTGCCTTTTTTCGGCCTGTTTTTCAATTAATTTTTTTTTCAAGGAAAATGAATAGTAATGTGCCTAACTCTTTGGGATTCTTGTTTATTGAACATTAAAGTTTACAAATAATTTTTTTTCGACATAAAAAAAGACACAAAAATGGCGGCAAACAGACCCCTGTTCGCCGAAAACGCCTGGACGGGCAAAGATTTTTCTCTGGAACGGCTTCATCTGAAACCGATTTCGTGATGAAATTAATAATCTGCATAAGATTCTCTGGAGCTTCTCCCGTTGGCAGCAAAAAATCTTGCAAATTAACAAAATGGCGGCCATATGAAAAAAAACAGGCGATTTTTAGCCCGCTTTTTTGCAGCTTTAAGGTGCTTCAAACAATGTTAAATGTTAATATTTTTGGCTGAAAGTGGGAGAAGCTCCAAAGAATTTAATAAGGAACAAAATGCGCAAAATTCAAGTCAATATCTCTTATAGTTTCTGAGAAAAATCTTCGCCCGATAAAAAAAAATGTGGTTTCGAGAAAAACGCGTTTAAAGTTTTGACTTTATTTAAAACCATTTTGGGGGTTCTTACCATTAGTTAGCTATGCCTGGACACCAAATTCACTGATCGGAAAACGGCTTGGGGGGATGAAAGTATATAGTCTAAAGTACAAAAAAACGTGAAAAAAAAATTTGATTTTTTGAAAAAAAAAGATCGGGAATACCCCCTTAATTCAGATATCCCAAAACTAATCGGAGAGGGATCCCAAGAAAGCTAATTGAGCCATGCGTTTTTCATTGAGCCGATATCGATTCTGGGTGGTTTCAACAGTTTTGATGGAACACTTGTTACCATTCTTGATAAATAGTCTCGAGCAATGGGGTTTTCATGGCGATATATACTACGGATTTTTTCCCATCATAGAGAAAGATCGACAGAACGTGGGAAAACAGGCTGATGCAAGAAATTTTGTAATCCTGCCGATATGCCCCCATGGCGATCCAGTTCTGACATAGCAGATGACTGATGAACCTGAAATATGTCATAAGAAGTGAATGTTTGTACATATGTAGATTAAAAACTTTCTTTGCCATTTCGTCATGAATATCCTACAGGCCTCCGGTTGGTTTTGGTGGGGGGACAGATGTGTGCAATCATCGTAGAATCTTTCGGTACTATAGATCTGCTCAGACACAATTTTAACTGCCCGAGCGTGAGCTGAAGACTCCAGGTACAGGTCAATTATTGAATTTCAAATGCAAATGCACTGACATTTTTTCGTTGTTTGATGGAAACAAAAATCGAATGAAAAGGAACGGTCCAGTCGATTTTTGTCGGGTTTGAGATCGATTCAAAAAATCGATTAATCGAACCAAAAGAATCGATCTTGTGTTTCGATCCAAGATCGCCCATTGCTAATGTATACGTCCTCACTGAACCAAAACATCCGCAATACTTCGAATGATTATTGCATTGTTCGAGCCCTTTAACAATATGCATTCGAATTTCGGATGATTTTCTTATGGTTGAATTCGTCGTCAGATGATGAACATCCATATGATTGTCATCCAAATACAGGATGATTTTCGTTTGAAAATTAGCTATAAAACATACGGCACTCAGATGACAAACATTTAAGAACAGTGTGACATGCAAGTGGTTTTAATTAGATTTATAATTTGATTATGTACAATTCCATACTGAATAGCCATAATAAGTCATTCCATCATGGATACCAAAAAATTTCGTGGTGGAGGAAACCTCCTCCACCACAAATTAGCTAAACATTGGTTTTCATCCTTTACCTTTGTTCGTAACAGCTCTGATAGCGATGCATATGCTTCCACCTCGTTTGTCAGCTCAGATCAGCAAATGACGTTCGATAGAATTATTTACATCATCGTTTTGAATGATTTGCGTTATGGGGCTGAACCAATACCATATGCATTTCCATTTAGTATGACAGCCTTTCTGCAGAGAGCATTACACATTTCAACAGAAGGCCCTATCCCTTCTCATAACAAGTTTCATCCAGTATTCGGAGGAAAATCATCTGATTTCAAAACATCCGGTCATCCGGTTGCAGCTATCATTCGAAAAAGCGATTTCGGTCTTTTGTTTTGAATGGTCTGAGGTTTCATTCGGTCAGAGGATGATGTTTGTGTACAGTATACTCACACTGTCGTGTCCAAACGGTTGAAGCTTTCGGGGGGCGCATCGATACACGCATTCGTCGCAACAAATGGCACCAAAAATGTGCAAAATATTGCGCGTTTCACACCAAATTGGACTAATAAGCGCGTTTTGACTTATTAAAAAGTGTGATAAAACTGCAAGTTTACGTCTAATCGTCTTGGTGTCTTGGGTACACTTATTCCTTATGATGCAAGCAATGAGTGCTCCGAAGATATCAAAACGATTTGACGGAAACGTGCACTTTTATCACACTTTTTGCATTTTTGGGACAGTCCAGTTTCAGATTCAATCAGCAATTATGATTATTATTTTGCATTTTAATCTAATCAAAAATAAACGTCATGTGAAATGCTAGCTTCTAGTAAGGGTTGGGTATAAATCCCTGCTGCCGAATTGTATTTTGTTTTCTCCGCCCATCTCTCCCTCTGAGTATTTCTAGTGCTTACCGAGTAGGGTATTAAAATTTAATCTAGATATATGAAAATCTGGATTAAATCGCGTATCATCTTCAATGAAATTACAGAAACATTTTGAAAACATTGGAAACTTTCAAAAAATTCCGTCAAACAACTCATTACTGAATACTATTTGCAATGTTTATGGATAGCAATGTCTGTATGAATCTTTATTTTATCCCCAATGTCTGTAAAGTTTTTGTTGTAAACAAGTGAGCGAGTACAACATGCAATGTTGAACGATTTTTCCCATGCCTGGATCTAGCTCTCTCTTCCATAACCATGCTTTCGCTCTTGTTTGATATTGAATTTTCAAGATTCAAAACAACTTCCCTCGTTGCAAATCTTACAAACCGAGCAAAAGCTATCAGAGCTCACGTTTCCCCATCTTGGTTGGATTAAGGATTTTAGTGACGCTCCAGCAACCAAACGAAGCACAGAGAATAGTTTTTTTTACAATCAGCTACGGTGAGTCTCAGCGCACAAAGTAATGGAATTATCGTGCTGGATTTCTTTTTCCCCGGCTTCTAATTCAACGGAAGTAACGTGATATATGTGAATAGCCCCCGCACCGCTGCTGCAGCTGGTGGAATGATGGTGGACCATCTGTGGGGGTGGTCGGTGGCAAAGGAAAGGATTTACTTTTTTGTGAGCTCCCGGTATAGTTACTTTCTGGCGCCGCCACCATTCGGTTTTTATCTACTTCAAACCGGAAAGTGGATTTCCTTCTGGAAATGAGGATGGTTTTTCTCGCCCTCGCCTACGCTATCTCTGAGAGGGCGCGCGCGTTGCGTCACCATTTTACTGGGTACTAAAAACCGGCAACGAGTGAATTTTCCAACAAGTGCGCGCTTTTTACGACGATGCTACTAAGTCTGCATCACACGAGAATTGGAGCAAAGATCATCCCCCTCTGATAGTGCGGGCCAGGGAAGTCATTGTATGATTGCAATTCCGAAAATTCCATCGACTTCAATCTCGAACTCAGAATCAGAAGAAGCCAAACACAAGCAAAACTATGCGGTCAGCAAAAGTTTCTCGTCCATCCGCTCTAATGATGGAAACCGCAAACACATTTCCTCGTCGGATTCAGTCACATATAATGGCGGAGGTCGTGAGTGACTTGGCCGGAGGAAAATTCTCTTTCTGTTTTCACAAACAAAGGTCTCATCGTATCTGGTATGAACGAACTGGCGTGATTTTTTTTTTCGTTATAATTCAGTTCTCGTCTTTTGCTCTTAATTAGTGCTAAAATAAACACTTGCGAATCCATGGTTGTTTGGCCAGGATTTGTGCAGGCAAACAGTCGGTCTTACAGATCCCGATGGAACTACCAGAAGAGGATTACGGTCTCTATTGGAAACAACTGCACCACACTGTCCCAGCCACCCACTCACACTGTCCAGTGGGATTGATTCAATTTAAAGAAAAACGCGAGGCAATTAGTGTGAATTATTAAACCGAAGGATCTCAATGGTTCGAGCTTCGAGAAAGTCGGCTACCTAATGAATGAATCTTGAATAATAAACAAACCTCGGGCGGTACCTATTCCACTTCGACGAATTTCTGCTGGTCAAATCGTTTCTTTTCAAGCTCCCCAAGGCCGGTGACCACACCAGCACCGGGAAAACTCGAGGAGGAGCCAAATGTATCAAGCTGACAGGCAGTAGACTGTGTAATGAATTCTGCCTTCCACCGTCTCCAACATCGTCTCGGTTATCTCATTGTCTTCGAATTAAGTGTACTTAATGACAGGCCGGAACAATGGAGGCGTACGCAGTTTGTATCCTGAAGGCGTGGGAAATACTCTGAATCGTGGTCAAAGAGAGTAGATCCTTCTTTTCGTAGGAAAACACCATCGCTGAATGTGATCCGTGCAATTTGTTGTTGCGATCATGATCCTCTGGAAACATCGCATTTCCCTCCCCCTATATTCCCGGTCCTGACTCCGTAACTGTTTCAGACACCATCCCTGATAAATTTTCGCCACGTCTCCTTTGCCGACGTCGTATTCGTCGTCGCCGTCGTCGTCATCGTCGTTTCAAGTAATTAGCTACTTAATAATTTAGCGTGTTGACCGACCCGAACATGCACCGAAGTAGATACAAGCTTGTAAAAGAACGATGACGAGATGAAACTGGCAGAAATTAATTACCTGATCGGTGATAAAACGTATCTCTTTTAATATTAAAGCTAGTTCGTAATCAGCGGATGATGTGAAACACGTGTGTGGTGGCGCAATTGCATCTGGCATTCGATTGCTTCCGATCGGTCCCATACTCCCATCATCGCTACTGCCGCCGCCGGAGAACGGATGGTGAACGGGTGGATGACCAGAGATGAGAATAGAAAAAAAAAAAAAAAAACGGAGTTAGTGAGTGAGTGATGTGGGGGCATTTTATGATGAAAGTGTGCTAACACGTTCGCTAGATTCATGATCGGGGTTTTTACGGGAGGATGAGCTGTCGAGATTAGTTCCGTGTTCGATACGGAAGATGTAAGAAATATGCTAGTGCTTTTACGTACCTATAAACAGTCCTGAAATATGTTGGATTATGTGGCAGTGTACCTCCGGGGGTTAGTGGTCTACAGTTGTGACGAAAGTCATCGTCTATATCTAATACGTTCGCTAGTAACGACTTCGATGATCTGTTTTTTTACCGGGGGAGTTGAAGATTATTATTATAGCCCCGTAAAGTTTGCGTGGTAGTAAAATGGAATAATCAATTAATCAATAGTTTTAACCAGCCATCAGATGAACCAACTTACCGCTCTTTCAGTTCGACGTCCTGTATGTGCGTTTTCCGTTCGGAACTATCCGACGTTGGCGTTGTCGGATATTCCTCCGATAATGCTCTACCCGGTCGGCTCATTCTTAAAATACATGGCAGCCAATATAAAAATATGATTCTAACCTGTTGGGGTGAAGGAGATAATACAATTGTTAAAATGATATGATTGCCTAGTGATTAAAATGACATATCCGGTGATCCAGGCAAGTTTGTAAGTTTTGTTAAATATGATATTTACCACTAAGTGTTTCTTTGTAGAGTCAATTTTTCCATCACACCTCGCAATCTCAAGAGCACACAACTCAAGATATACGAGGTTTATGCATCTGCAAATGTCAGACGTTGCTTGCTTCGTCGCAGCAAACAACAAGTAGAGTTCACTACCCCATTTCCGGCCTATTAATCACAGCCCGCACTTAGTCTTTCTTAATCTAGCGCAGTTTAGCACCAAACGGAATGTTAATATTACTGATGGCTTCCAAATTTATTTACCTTTCCGTACGTACCGTAAGATTTGATAAAGAGATACCAATCGTTGAGATATTGTCAAAAGTCTAACACTGCTTCTTGACGCCAAACTCTGCCTACGGATTCTAAACTCGGTCTAACGCATTGAAACGCCATTGAAACGCCAATTAATTCACTTCGGCCTATCGGATGAAGATAAAAATTGATTCGGTCGGAGCGCTTCTTTTGTTTTTGGGAATAATGGGTGCAAACCTTCATATCACGCGTTTTCATTGACTTCGTTCGGTAGTATCGTACCAAACGCATAATTAACTTGTTTACTCTGAAATCATGGATTTATTTGAAGTTGTCTGCTCGATAGACCCAAAATGGGAGATTAGGCCGAAGTAGTTCTCTACCCTAGTAGTGTCAACTACGTGCATTCACTGAAACCTTATTATTTTTACATGTGAAATTGCGAAGTGTAACATGAAAGAGGACGCAACAGGGAATCAGCTTAACAACGATGAGCAGATTTTTTTGGAAATTAAATATAAAAACTACAAGAGTTGTACGCAATGGTGACGTAGGACTAAGTGATCTTATCTAATAAATCTTATTTGTTAACTGCAGCTGTTTTTTGTGTAGAAATAGGAATTTGAGCAGGGTTCTCTCCGTTTATACTCTTTAGTATGACGCGCTTGGCATAGATGGCCCACAGCGACTCACGAAGAGCTACTGATTCCGATCAACAGCGGTGCGGCTTCTCCTTCCTTCCATGGATGCTCATGTGGACTGCAGCTCGCTGCTTGCAGGCAGCCTTTCGTTGTGTATTGGAGAGCAACACCACTCACCACGCGGTGATTGAATGAACACCGTTTGGTGAGACCGGATGTTATTCAACTTTGAAATCTGTGTTAGCGAAATCGCTTTTGGCAGGCAATCGGTGTTAATTTTAATTATTATAGCAACAGTTGCACCTTCGTGCAATTTTCAATAGAGACAAGTCTCAATTTTAACAGATTCGTAGAAAAAAATCGTATCGATTGGCGTATTATGAATTAAAATCCATCATCTCTGTATCAAAATCAGACCACTTTCATGCCGCGACCGACTTTGGTTTTTGAAATTGCACCCCCAATGTTGCCTTAAAGTACATGGTATGTTTGATTTAAATATGTCTTAATAGATCTGGAATTATGCTTAACAGCTTTTGTAAACAATGACTTCTCTCGCTGATTTTTAGGAATTCAAGGCACGCCCACGCATACTAACATTACCGTCGGGGTCGTGCCCAGGGCTGAAAGTCTCTTTAATAAAGATATAAAAAAAATACCGTCGGGTAGAGGAGGTCTTACCTGATGGTGATGTTAATTTGCATAGGCGAGCCTTGACTTTCAAGACATCATCGAAAGAAGTCATTGTTTACAAAAGTTGCGACACCCTAATTCCAGCTCTATTTTGAGATGGGAGCTGACATCCGATTGATGACCTTGACAAATGGCCCAAAAAAACCTTTTACAAATTTATGGTGGTCCTCAAAAGGACCGTTTTGTCGTGATGGTTGAGTAATGCTGAGCTATTATGGTGTTAACCGGGGTGTGCGGCTTCTTACTCCTTCTAGGTATGCTCATGTGGGCCACAGCTTTCGTTGTGTACTGGAGAACAATGTTCAACGCTACGCGTCGAAAGCACTAGCTGCTTGCGGGAAGCCTTTTGTTGTGTGCTGGAGAACACCACCACTAACCACGCGGTGATCGAATAAACACTGGATTACTCAATATGGCGCGTCATGAAGGCCAACGCCTGTTCTAAACGCCTCCCTAGTACAGCAAGCCTCAGACAAACATTGACTGGTACCTGGAGAGAAATGGATGCAGACTACATTATTAGAACTTGCCATGCATTCCGGAAGCGTGTGGAGGCCTTAATTGCAGCAAGTGGAAACTCAATCGATTATTCACATAGTTTAAGACTCTGAGAAAAATCCCCTTTAAATAAATTAAAAAAAAACTCGAAAACGAAATTTTTGAGAATTTTTTTAATTTTGACATTGTTCAATGGTGCAAACATTATCACGCATACGGTAATGCATAACAGAAGCCTACTTTATTATGTGTAACACTCGGCTTATCAACCAGACATTTCTCGCATAAGTTTTTGTATCCTCTTATGGAAAGACATTGGTAAAATTGTAGATGAGTAGGATCAAAGCAACTGATTTTTGAATTTTGATAAATTCCGGGTAAACCATCATGCGGAATACTACAAACGTAATAGTTCTTTTAAAAAACGTTCTGTTTTCGAAAGTTCCTCCTTATCCAAATATAAGAGGTCTCCAAGCCTAATATTCAAAGGAAGGAGCCAAAATCCATCTTGGCTGAACATAAAAACCAAATTTTAACAAAACTACGTACTTTTATCAATTTAAACCTGAATTCAGTAAGGTCCATTCAATAAAATACAAGCATAACTTTCAAATGATGGTATCAAAATCGAACCAGGCAGAAAAGGAAACCCAAATTTCTAAAAATATTCTTTTCGAATTACACAGCCGGTTCAACATTCACCTATGGATTCAGCAAGGTCCATTCAATAAAATACAAGCTTATTTTCAAAGATATGAGCCGAAATGCAATTTGGCAGAACCGAAAAACCAAATTTCTATGAAAATGCAGACTTCCTGCACACGCACATCAGTTTCAAGTGACGAGAACATTTTTACTCTATCTCGCCACTTTTCTCTCTATTAACGTTGCGCCCGGGCATATCACATACGAGTTGTTTTTTGCTCTTTTGCTTCTCATTCGTAAATAATTGTGAGGTGTTCGAGAATGTCTCGTCGCTTTCCGACACGAGAGAGGTATTTGTGCTGCATGCATGGTGAACTATGTGAAGTAAACGAACGAGGCACAAGGGAAATGAGTGAGCCTTGTATACAAGGCTCGCTCATTTCCCTTGTGCCTCGTTCGTTTACTTCACATAGTTCACCATAATTGAGATACATAGGTACGAGATTAGGTAGCGCAAAGCACACTGTCTCTTCTCTGTGCTCACGAGATTTCAGGAAGTCTGCTTTTGAGAATTTAAACCCAGTACCATCACGTATGGATTCAGCAAGGTCCACCCTATAACATCTAAGCCTATTTTTCAAAGGACGGAGCTAAAATCCAGCTTCGCTGAACAGGAAACCCGAACTTCCATCAAAATATGTATTTTTGTGAATTTAAACTCGGTTTTCAGAGATTTTGGGTGTCTTTTTTTTTGACAAGTTACTTTTTATTTTTATTGATTTTTAAGAATGTCTAATTTTCATTTTCACTAGAAGAAAAAATTTCTAGAATTTATATTTAATTGAAATTTAACCGATAGAATTATAATGCTCGATTCAAAGTAAATCTGGACGCACGGTTTAATACACCACCGCGCGCTCCTGGTGGTTGGAACAAAAAATATTTGACAGGCATTTGTTGATGTGTCATTGACGAAGAAATTGGTGAAAAGTTTTCTCGATTGATCAACGCATCCCGAAATTACGGATCATGGAACTTGAGAAAAGAAAATTAATTGTGCACAAACATCTAGAAAACCCTTCGTGGTCTGCCTCAAAAATAGCAAAAGTGTTAAAATTCCCAAAGTCAACGGTGAGTCTTGTAATCAAACGTTACAAGGATACTCTGAGTGTGGATAGAGCACAGCGCATCTATCATAAAAGTGGCACTAGGGACAAAGAGCTGAGGAGAAAGGTGTTGAGGTACGTGAAAAGCAACCCAGGTGTCTCCATACGTGATTTGGCAAAGAAATACGATTCCAACTTTTCCACCATGCGTAACATCCTTTCAAGAGAAGGATATAAGTCTTTTTGTGCCTGTTAACATCCGAATCGCTCCCTGAAACAAAGTTTAGTGGCCAAAAAGCGAGCACGATTACTATACGAACGAGTTTTGACGAAATAGGATGGCTGTATTTTAATGGATGACGAAATATATGTCAAAATGGATTATAAACAAATCCCCGCACAAAAATTTTACCTGGCAACTGGTCGTGGGGATTTCCCTTCCAGGTATATATTTGTTTTTGCTGATAAGTTTCCTCGGAAACTAATGATTTGGCAAGGAATCTGCAGTTGTGGCCTTAAAACCAAGGTTTTCATCACATCTCACACAATGACGTCGAAGGTTTACATTAAACAGTGTCTGAAAAAGCGGATTTTACCCTTCATTCGGCAACACAAGACCAACTTTATATTTTGGTCCTATCTAGCCAGCTGCCACTACTCTAAGAAGGTACTAGAATGGTATGCTGCAAACAATGTTAATTTTGTCGCCAAAGAGATTAATCCTCCGAATTGCCCTGAGTTCAGACCGATCGAAAAATATTGGGCAATTGCCAAGCGAAAACTTCGAGGTTGCGGTAAAGAAGTGACAAATGCACAACAAATGCGTTTAAAGTGGAATAAGTTCGCCGGTACAGTGTCACCAGCGACTGTGCAGATCATGATGGCATCGATCACAAGTAAAGTGCGACAGTTCGTTCGAAACGGTGAAACGTAAAAACTTGTTATATATCATTTGAAAGCTGTATAAATACCCTTTTGTTTGACGTTTTGATCAACCGCGTATGTTGTTTAATTCTTGAGTTATGATCACTTGAATGCGTTCAAATTTACTTTCAATCGGGCTTTATGACGTCTTCGAGCTCTTCAAATTGTCCAAGAGTTCGGGATTTATCTTTAACCTCAGGGAAATTCGTGAAACTTCAAGGACTTCTAAGAACTTCAGAGAAAATCGAAAAAAAAAAACGAAACGTTGTAGAAATTCTGGGAACTTCATAGAGCCTCAAAAAACTCAGAGAGCTTTGGAAAAGTTCAGAAAACTGTGTAGAAGTGGAAACGCTCTTTAAGTTTTGGGGTCTTCAAAGAAGTTTAACATTATTTAATTTCAGAGAGCCTCATTATTGTTAATATATAATTTCAGAACACTTTTTTGACGTAGGAAAACGTCTTTCGGCAACTTAATGGAGGTGAAATTTCAAAAATCCAAAATCGACCGCGTTACGAAAAGTGGTCAGGTTTCAATAGCGGATGTATTTTAATTCTAAACACACCAATCGATTGGAAATTTTTCTACAAATCTGCTAAAATGAACACTATATCATTTTTACAAATTACACAAATGTCCAACTGTTGCAATGGTGATCAAAATTATCACCGATTGCCTGCAAAAAGCGCTTTCTTTAACACAGATTTCAAAATAAAATTCCATCCGGTCTCGCCGAACGGTGCTTATTGAATCAACGAGTGTGGCTGCCCGCATTAAAGGGGCCTCATAGCTTAGTCAGTAAAGGCACGGTATTACCAAGCCGGAGACGGCGGGTTCGTTTCCCCGGTCTGGACGAGGGAATCTTTCGGGTTGGAAATTTTCTCTACTTCCCTGGGCATATAGAGTATCATTGTGCTTGCCACACAATATAAAAATTCATGCATTGGTATTGGTATTGGCATCGAAAGCTCTCAATTAATAACTGTGAAAGTGCATTTAGAACACTATGTTGAGAGCACGTAAAAAACTAATATGCACTAAGCAATAAGCTTGAAATACGAATAAGAAGATGAAGGTTGCCCACATGCAGCGAGCTGCAACCCACATGATCACCGAAGAAGGAGGAAGAAGCCGCACCGCTACTGATCGGATTCAGTAGCTCTTCGTGAGTCGCTGTGGGCCATCCATGCCAAGCGCGGCACCCTCGTTCCAAACAACATACAGCTCGCCAGCCTCATCTGTGTTGAACAACCTAACAGCATTACTCAACCATCATGACAAAACGGTCTTTTCAGGACCACCATAAATTTGTTAAAGGGTATTTTCTGCACATTTGTTAAGGTCATCAATTGGATGTCAATTCCCATAAGTAACCATGTATTTTCAAGGCAACATTTGGGTCAAAACCAAAGTCGGTCGTGGCATGAAAGTGGTCTGATTTTGATCCAGAGATGATGGATTATAATTCCTAATACAGCAATCGATAAGAATGGTTTTTTCAAATCTGTTAAAATTAATGCTTTATAAATTTTTAAAAGGTCACTATTGAAAATCTAATGAATATGCAACTGTTGCTATGATAATTAAAATTATCACCGATTGCCTGCGAAAAGCGCTTCATCCGTGTTGAACACCCGCTTAGCTCAGCGTTACTCAACCATCACGACAAAATGGCTCTTTTCACTATCACCATAAATTATAATTGTTTAAGAGCTAATTTTCATTGAACTTTCACTCGCGTTGCTGCTCGCGACATCACCCCCCAAAGCTCTTTAATAATGTAACGTTTGGTTGCTACGTTTGTGGTCAAATGCGTAACAGTATTGAAGTGGTAGGTACATAACAATTCTCGCAATTACCGGATACCACATAACCTTGTCAATTAACTAGAAACACTTCGAATTAAGGTAAGGTTTTCTGCAGGATGCTAGAAAAAAGTAAAGCAATTTTGAATTTATATGAATGACAACGAATATCTCGGGAATGGAAAATTTCAGCAATCATTTCCTCCAATCAATTTTCACTTTTTTATTATCTATTGAATAAACTAAAAAATCCCGTGCGTTTTATGCACTAAAATGCGTAATTTTGTCATCAGAACAAGGCGTTTCCGTGATGGAAAAAAGTGGTTTCCCTCACACAGTCGCCATAATCCTGCGTCATAGCTACGGTCGTGTCTTAGATACAACCCCTTTCTTTTTCTCAAAAACAAAAGAAGCGCTCCGACCGAATCAATTTTTACCCTCATCCGATAGGCCGAAATGAATTCGATGGCATTTAAATGGCGTTTCAATGCATTAGGCCTAATTTAGAATCCGTAGACCGAGTTTGGGGTTAAGAAGCAGTGTTAGATTTTTAACAATAAGGGAAATGGATCTAATGTTGGCCTATGGATCTAAGAATTGTGCCCATCGCTAAAAATCTGCTATTTATAAATATTATTTAGATGAACGCATCATTGGGTGCTATTGAAAATTTAGTCGATTGCTGAAATTATGTATCGGCCCAAATTAGCCGACATTACATCCATTTCCCCTATCTCATCAATTTGTTTCTGTATATCAAATCTTACGGTACGTACAGAAAGGCAAATAAATTTAGAAGTCATCTCCTGTGAAAAATTTTCCATTTTGTTAAAAAAATCCACTCGAAAAATGGAAACAAAGAGCAGGTTGAGCTTAGTAGGTCCAAACGTTAAACCCACCGCCCCTAGTTTGGAATGCTTTTTGACTAGGCTATCGGAAGGCCTTGCCTGACCTTATAATGTTTCAAATGTTCGAACAGGTCATCATGATCATTTCACTATTCTAAACCTAATCCACTTGTTATTCCGTGAAAGTCAACGAGCCTGAAAAGCGCACACATCGATCCTAGTCAAACGCACGTGCCAAAACATCTCATCATCAACCGACAGGATAATCTCCCCTTCCATACGGTACATAAAGAATCCAGTTGTTCTGGCCAACCGGTAACGCACTCAACCGCACCGCACTGCAATAATCAAAAACCACGAGGTGCAAAAATTGACACTGCCATCAGCAACTGTCATATCCCTTGTCCGCCGTCTGTCGATCGATGCAAATTGTATGCAAAACTCTAATTCTATTAGCATACGTTAAACAATTTTAATTGCATTGCCGCTTCGTTCCTGTGCCGTGGGTTAAAGTTTGTGAAGCACGTTCATTGGGATATGTTTCAAATTCGTCCGGCAGTTTGCTTCAGAGGTAGTAGGATTCTATGTTGAATGGCTCAGCCACCGCGAATACGACCGATCAAATTCGATTGCGAGCGTGTTCTATATAAGCAAGTCATATCCCGCCGAAAGTGGTGGGTTCAATTTTCAGTCCAATCATGGCATTTTTCAGGTTGGATTTTTTTCCAGCAACCTTGAGCACAGAGTATCAATGTATGTGTTTGGCACACAATATACGAATTCAAACATGTTACATACAATAGTGGATAGTTGAGAGTAGGCGAAATGTTCCTGTTGGGCCGTTATAGCCAAAAGAGATGTCTCCGTTGATTGATCACTGTAGCGTCTGTTTGGCAATAATTTCGGATGCGCACAGATGAATTTGTGCGGCCAATGTTTGACCCAATTAATGTCAGTTGACAAACTGTTATCCCAATGGATGATGTGTCGATGTGATCCATCGCATGGGATGGTAAAATATCAGTTAGTTATGATCCGATATTTTCCTCAAAACTCCCAAAGCACTAGAAAGCAATTTTCCACCCAGAACGTTCTTGAGAGCGCTCGGTCTACCAACTGAATGTGGTTTACTTTGATGTTCGATGGAAACTCGCTTCCTGTGACTTTTTACTCAAATTTGATTTCGCTGAAATTGATGCCTCGAATCCAATTAAGACAATGACGTTCATCAACCCGAACCTAACTGGAACAACCGCATCTCTGCAGCGGTCTGTGTCAGCGTTGTCAATCCGAGATTCCTGTTTTCGGAAAGCGTTTTCATCCAACCAAAAGAGCTCCTACAAGTAAATTAGTTCCATCTATTTGACTCATCGTTCGCACCTAGAGCACGAGTGCCAGGTCAAATCTAACCCGAAAAATGTGAATCAAACACAAGATCACATCTAACTACACACAACCAACCGGCTGCGTCATTTCCGAATCTCAATAAAGACCATCCTATTCATCATCACAATCAGCGTGCCGTTCCCAAACCTAACCTAGCCTAGTCGTTCGTTGTTGTCATTGTTGTTGCGTTGGAAGTCGTTTCCTTTTTCCTCTACGTCTATGGCTGAGCTGGAACTGGGACAACACCAGTCGAAAATGCAAAAGAGACTTTCATTTTGGAATGCGCTGAGACTGACAGGTTTTCCACATGCTGACTTTTGAATACGAACCGTCCTGGTTACCTCAGCAGCTGGCAGTTGGTCATAAGTATTCATTAAAATGGTGATTCTACTGACAACCTACTGTTGGTAGGTAGCCATGGACCACCGGATGATGACTATGATGGTTAGTTAGTTAGTTCGTTCGTACAAACGCACAATAACAAACGACAGAATGGCATCGGGACGTTGGGTATACTCACCCAATCAGACATTTCGTGTGTGTCCGCATTTCTATGATGATAATTTAAAATTAAAATTGTTGAAACAACGGATGATGCAACCATAAACATGATGCAGTTAAAATATGTGCCTGTGAACGAGAAAGAGAAAGGATATTTTCAGTTAAAGGATCAATTGTATCATGAGTACGTATGAACTGTGGGCTGAAAATAATAAAATCAAGTTTCAAGTCGGTACCTAGTTTATTTAGAGAAAATTGAAGATCTGTGAACAACATAAAGGGTGTATTCGATAAAAATGGCATACACCAAAATTAAATCGGATAAATCGGATTTTCTTGAAATTTTCAGGGAATGAAAAACTACTAATGAGTTATGATTTACAATCTTATTTTTTTATTCAATTTCGTCTCCCATCCCGAATTCCCGCACTTTTTTTTTTCACTCCACCCAACAAATTTGGTACAGTCAATTTTCCCAGAGTTTTTGTTGTTTTTACACAAGTTTTTGTTCAATCCCAGCTCTGTTGTAATAGTTTTGGGATGTTCGCTAAGTAACGTTTTCATAATAGCCCAGATTTTTTTTATTTGGGCAAAATTCCGGTGAATTTGGTGGGTTCATATCTTTTGGCACGAAATTGACTCCATTGACTCGGTACCACCCCAACACGTTTCGAGTGTAGTGGCAGGATGCTAGATCAGGCCAAAACAGAGTGGATCATTTGAAATTCCTTATGAATAGCAAGAGACGCTTCTTAAGGCACTCTTCCGTGTAAATCGCACCGTTGATTGTTTCGGAAGTGATGAAGGGAGCGCTTATTTCACCACATCCACAAATCGCCTGCCAGATCAGGAACTTCTTTGTAAATTTCGATAATTTATTCTTTCAAATATCCTCCGGAACATCGAACTTAGACTTGCGAAAGAAATATTCTTGCCCAGGATGTTGACGGAAGCCGCCCGTGTAAAGTTTCCAGGCGCGGGTTTTCGCAGTGATGTTTTGCTTTTCATTCCGTTACACCTTGTAAACATGTAACCCAGCAGCTTCATGGTTTTCTGCACAAAACCGACTGACACCTTGAACTTTGTAGCGACATCTATAATTGACATGTTTGGACGGTTCTTGAACTGTTGCACCACTTTCCTGGCCATTTTACTGTCCATTGGACCACTTTTACGACCACTCGCATTCTTCCTTCGGGCACTCAGACGCTCTTTGAAGGTTCTTATCACACGAGACACAGTTGTATTTGCAATTCCAAACTTGACAGATGTAAACAATACACTATAAATAAGATTTACTCAACTTTTCAGGTTTTTTACTCATACGGTTACATAAAGTTACAGAAGATTTTGGGTGTGCCATTTTTATCGAATACACCCTTTAATCCAAACGGACGATAGATTGGTTCGAATTGGTACTGATAAAAAATTGTTGTGTCTAGAGACTTTGAGTGCAGGGTTTGATGGCCAATGTTCACTCGACTGACGACAGAAGCAAACCACTCTCGATGTGTGTCAAGTGATCGTCTGTTTACTAGTCAGCAACCATTGTGTGGTCCTTCTCATTGTTCTTCATCAGCAGTTCTTTCAGTGGATGCGTCGTCCACTTTGGAAAGCAACCGTTTCGTGATGAATGTGTGAGTGCTGACCACGTTTTGCGTCCATTGCTGCAATGGAAGCGCTCTGACCCCCGTTGGCGAATCTGCCATACAATGAAACCACTGGAAGCGGCTCCCGTTCTGGTGGAGGAAGTTTATTGGATAACGGAAGAGCCTAATCAAATAAATTATTAAAGAATAACAATTGCCAGATCAGCTGTAATTACACAGAGAACCAATAGACGATGGTTGGGACTAGAGTTCATCCTCAATGTGTAAAAACTGGTGATCTCAAACTAGGCAATACCAGCACCGGCCGTGCCCGAGCGCAGGTCAAGAAAGGAATGGGAAGGAATCTGCTGACGTGACACTCGCTTTGATGGATGCCGAGGAGTCCTCTGCACTTCCACGAGGAATCACTGGGATGTTGGGTAAGAGAGTTGGCTTTGCAGCAGGGTTCGTTTTGGTAAACGATAAGCCGAATTGATGTCCTAACGATCCTAACGATAACGCGAAGGAGCTTGTTTTCTCCTAGGCAAACGAGCTCCTTTTTAATCATCGAGGTGCTGTTTTGACCATGTAGTCATACAGCAATTCCATAGAAAAAAGTAATAGTGAGTCTCAGAAATTCGGAAAAATTCGTATAGTTCTTCCTCATCAAACAATATAAAACTCGTATTTTTCTTATTCCGCCATAACGGTGACCATTTCCTAGCTAAGATGGTCTAAAAAATCTTTTTTTTTAATTTTTTTTTTAATTTCGGGAAGTATACGAGGGAAACTAGGATCTACAATGTCTGAAAATTGGTATACGTGGTTTATGGACAGTCCCCAGGCTGAACTGAATGTTGCTTCCAGCTTGTAAGTTACTCATAGATTTCGTTAGTTACAGCTGCAGGCATTGTGACTAAAGACTGTACTCGAAAAAAATGATCACCAAAAATTAAAAAAATAGTTTTTGCTTCCAGTCGGCGGCTAAAATCGTTGTCTTCGTATCGCGCTAGGATCCATACACTCGACAAATACGATGAGTCTTGAAGTGTTGGCGGGCATGTTGCCACTCTCTGGTCGGCTTTCGAAACTGTCCCTAAGGCTCCTCACCCGTTGTGAAGTTATGAACCCACTGGTAATCGAAAACTTTGAGAAGCTTCTTGAGCTAAACCCTCAAACTCGTTTTATGTCATTGTACTACGTGTACATAACACAGGATGTCAGCCCTTCACAACATAATCCTCATTGTGTATGCTTCTCCGACTTCGGCAATTAAGTTAGTTTTGATTTATCTATTCGTGGAATCCCAGAACATCATCGTTTCATGATTGTTTCGTTAATTTTCGCTGTAAAGTTTGGCCAAGTTGATTCCGCAAGATCGTTCTTCACAGATAGATCACTAATAGAGGCGTCCGCTGGTTTTGGTATTTATATCGAATTTCATAGCGCCTCTCGAATGCTTCATGCTCCTTGTTCCGTATATGTTGCTGAGCTGGCGGCAATACATTATACGCTAGAAACTATCGCCTCACTTTCACCAGATCACTACTTTATTTTTACGGATAGCCTCAGTTCTGTCGAGGCTATTTGCTCCATGAGGCCGGTAAAGCACTCCTCGTATTTGCTCATGAAAATACGAGGTCTTCTAGGTGCTTTGTCATTACCTTTGCATGGGTCCCATCTCATTGCTCGATTCCGGGCAATGAGACAGCGGACTCACTTGCTAAGGTGGGCGTTATGGAAGGCGATACTTACGATCGACAAATCGCCTACAACGAATTTTTCTTCATTTATCGTCAACAGACACTCGCCAGCTGGCAAAATAAATGGAGTGAAGGGAGTTTGGGACGATGGCTATATTCGATCATCCCTAAGGTGTCGAAGTATCCTTGGTTTAAAGGGTTGGAGGTGGGTCGAGACTTCATTTGTGTGATGTCTCGCCTCATGTCCAATCGCTATTCGCTAAGCGCTCACTTGTTCCGTGTGAGGTCAGATGCTGAGCACCGTGGAGTCAGATCCGAGTTGTACGATTCCCGTCGGGCTCGATGTAGTCAACCTAATGTCCTAGTTCGGGATATTTTGGCTAGACGCGATCTTGAGTTTATGCAACTCATCAAGCATGGGAAGCGCTTCTGGAGACATTCTTCTCTATATATTTGGCCGTTGATGGTGCCGGTCGTTATGAACGGCTTGCTGAATTTGCCGTACCCACAGATCGCATATCGACCTTCTTATTCCGGAACATCCAGGCATGACTTGCCGATGAAAAACTCCAGGCCGGGAATCTGCTTGGTGTCCACTTTAATGTAAAGGGCGAACACGAAATTATTGCGACACATTCAACAGGGCATAACTTTTTTACCATTGGGTAAAAATCAACCAAATTTTGCACACTTTCTCATTGATGTGTATTGTGTACATGCTGTCAAACTCGAAGTCGTGTTTTTCGATTAAACGAAAATGGAGGTGAACCAACGCGAGTTGAGAGAACAAATTCTTTCCAAACACCTGGAATTTCCTGACCTGTCGCACCGGCAGTTGGGAAAAATGTTGAACATTCACCATTCAACCGTCTCCAGAGTGTTGAAGCGGTTCCAGGAGCGGTTGACGTTGGACCCCGGCAAAGTAGCTGAAAGAAAACCGGGACCGGAGAACAAAAAGACGGAGGGAAAGGTGAAGCGGATGATTAAAGCAAATCCCAACGTCTCAAGCCGTAATTTGGCTAAAAAGATCGGCATGTCGCAGAGCTACGTCCAGAATGCAAAGAAGAGAGCTGGACTACATACATACAAGGTACAGAACTTCCCAAACCGCGATGAGCGGCAACAATCGACGGCTAAAACTCGGGCACGGAAGCTCTACGAGAAGATGCTGACAAAATATGGCTGCCGTGTGATGGACGACGAAACGTATATAAAAGCTGATTTTAAGCAAATTCCGGGGTTGGAGTTTTTCACTGGCAAGAGCAAGTTCGATGTGGACGACAAATTTAAGAAGAAGAAAATGTCGAAGTTCGCCTCCAAATATCTCATTTGGCAGGCCATCTGCTCTTGCGGACTGAGGAGTGAGCCTTTCGTGACAAAGAGCACAGTAAATGGCGAGATCTACAAATCTGAGTGCCTCGAGAAGCGCCTTTTGCCGTTCTTGCAGCAGCACGACGAAGCTCCGCTATTTTGGCCAGATTTGGCATCATGCCACTATTCTAAAGGGTGTCCACGATGAAATTGCCACACACAAAATTGATTCGCAAAATTCGAGTTTTCATCCGATTGCCATCAAATTTTCAGGGATTGAGAAATAACTATTAAACTTCATTTTACTATTTTACTCGTATTTTATTTACAGTCCATACGCAAATGCCCGCACCTTGGCCTTAACCCCGGCCATAAAATTCTGCACAACCTGTGAATCAACCGTTTTTTGCATGTAAACCCATACTTTCTTCAGTTCCTCGACTGTCTTCACTACCTTAGTTCGTTTAAGAAGGTGCTGCTTCATAATCGTACTTCTTCGATGGGGCGGAGCTCCGGAGTGTTGGGA